TTGCAGACTTAGGAAGAGTGTGCCTGCGAAGACGGGATACGAGTGGTTCCTGCTTGCCTTCCCTGGTTGTCACCTGAGTTCGTTTCAAGGGGACGTGGCAGTATGGATGGACTGCCACATTTTTTCTGCTGCAATAAATTATTCACATTGTGACACTAAATGTGAAATTTGCATGATTTAAGCAAAGGACTTCAGTGTAAACGGAAATGAGAGACAAAACCTGCTTCTTATTAACCAGGGATTTTAAAATAACAGGACCTAAAGCTAAAGGAATGCCACAGTGCTAAATGTATTAATTTCCTGTTAAACTGCAGTGGGCTGCGCAAGAGGTAGCTGCCATCTTCTAAAGAGAGGCACTTCTGGGAAGGGTTGTATAGTTTGCATGATGTTATATCAATTCAGAAAACACTTACCTTCAGTACATGTTTTAAAAACATAAGACATTAGTAAAAAAAGTTATGAAAAGATTTCATGAAGCCATTTTCCGCTATAAGGTTATAGCAGTTATTAAAAATCAAAAACCAGTTTTGCCTTAAGTATGACACTTTCAATGGTGTTTATTTCAGTTGTTGCAAAACAGCTTTTTCATTTTTTTATTTTGGCATTACAAAATAGAAAACTGAATTTGCAAGATCTAAATAAAACCCATTTTTATAAATGTCAAATGTTTTTAGAATTTTCCTTCACAGATAGATGTGAAATGTTGAGTTTTACTTAAAAAAGGTCGAGTTTTACTCAGCATTGGTCCTATCTATACCAAATTTCAAAATCTAACACAAAATCGACTTTCTCTTTCACATTGCTGCAGCGTTGTTGTAGCTCCATGGCCTAGAGACAATCGCAATCACATTTTATACATATAGGCTTCTGTGCAAGATTTATCTTAAGGACTGAAGAATTCCAGGAAAAATGCCAAGGTTGCTGTTCCAGCATTATGAACATACCACACATCAACATAAATTGCTCACTTGAAAACACTGTACACATACAGGAGCGCTTGTGATTACTTAAGTTTGAAGGACAGCTTCTCGGAGCAAAATATTTAGTCGTGTAAAATCTTTGCATTAGTTTGACAGAGTAAAGCACATCGCAGGCACATTATTCTAGAAAATTCCTTTAGAAGGAGCAGAAATTCAACTACAAAGTAAGCAAGGGAAACACAGTAAGAAGTCAATTATAGCGGACAGTAGGAAAAACTTTCCAAGAAAAGTTTTTTACTCAGGGGACTTCATAATTTGATGAAAATAATAAGGATTTAGGAAGGACATGCTCCCAGAACGTAAAACAAGTTTTAGAATGATCTCTGCTCATTTCAGAGCGTTTCCTTATTAGAAACATGAATTACAAAGGCTGGAAAAAACCTCTGTAGAGAAACGACATGTTTTGCAGGAATCTTTGCTGAAACAAGGGCAGCCGTTACACAATGAAAGTGGATCTTCAGACAAAAATTATCTTGATAGTAGTAAGACAGTAATTACCTTGGCGTATATGCAGCTTTCATTGAGTTTTTGTAGTGTGCAATTGCGTTCGCACATAGGGCACATGATGGTTTCATTTGCCTCGCAGATCTCTTTGCTTTAGTATAAGACAGGAGAAGAAAGGTTATGAAAAGGCTTTTAGCATTCTTAAGACTTTCTGAGGTTACGCCGTTCGTGGTCTCTATTTGTTAACAGTATGCCTACACCACAAAAGTGGCTCAACAAAATAAATTAAAAGGGAACATTTGACATGAAAAGCCTATTCCCAAATCAGTACCCTTAAAACTATGGGCCCTAGAGTTGTATGCAATATTTTGGGGCATCATGCTGCCCTCCTCACACTTGTGAATATCCCATCCATTCCCAAATTTCACAAACAGAAGAACAGAACGTTGTTCACTACCTGCCAACTCATTTACTGCATATTTGTCTAAGCAACAGAGAAGATACCAAACCTTACGATGATGGACATCGCTGGTGTAACTACACTGATTTCAATCAACTCATCCCAGTTTACATGAGCTGAAGGTCTGTTCCACAGGACAATCACATGCATATTTAGATCGGTTGGTCACATGTAAAAACCCACTGACCAGCATTTCTGGCAGAAGAATTTCCAAGTCTTTGCATTCTTATTTCCTACAGAAGAACTTATGTATAGGGCTAATAAAAAACCACTTTAATATCCTAACTTTGGGGAAAAATATCTTCAAACCACATTCTACTGCTTAAAGATGCTAGGATTCAGGGAAATGAAGTCACTGCCTTCATTAGGACCATTCACATTCAAAATGTAGTACCTAAGTGTCTTGACAAAGGTACAACAGAATTAACAGAAGTGCAAAAATGAATTTTAAGGCAAATTTTAACTGCATTGAGTAAGCTGCCCAAAGCAGCTCATCAATCACGCCTCCCTATCCTTTAGCAATGCTGACATGCCTGGAATGATCCTATGACACACTAGAAAAAAAGCAGTATAAACAAATGCCAGGAAATCTCTACTGATTTGTCTTAATAAACATTGCGCTTCCACTCTCCTCCTTATAAAAGCTGAATTTACAGCGCTAATGCTGTGTGGAAGATTACGCTTATTTCCAAATGAGCGCATCTATTAAATCCTGACTGACATAGCAGTGAATAGAAATTAGATTCTGGTTGCCCAGATGTCACTTTTACAATGTTTGGTCATACCTCACGTAACATCCGAATCACTAATTCACTGAAACCTTACAACATAAAGTGGACCTGACAAAAAAACTGCACTAAGTAACCCTTAAGTCAGAATGAGCACAGATAGTCATTTCGGAGTGGTAGAGTAACAGAAGTCTTATTGTGTGTCACATGAGAGAATTTTCTTGCTTGCATTTTCATCCAAACAAACACAGAAAATCATATACCAACAATATGTTATAATGGTTTGGCAACAGTACAAACCGTTGTCAAATATAAAGCCAAACGGTACTGTGCTTTGAATTTAAATTCAACATTATAAATGTTCGATTTTCTGGATTCTATACCCTGACTTAAAGTCTTGGTTTGCTTTTAATAACACGAAGTTCCACAAAATTACACTGAGAGCGACAGGTCACACGCGTTAGCACTACTCGGCGAAGGCAATGACGTTTCTTACACAAGTGCTCGTGACAGGCGCTCTGTTAACTCTCACGCAATTCAAATCTTCAGTATAACAGAGCAAAGTAAGCGTCTTTGTACTGTCCTCACTTACACATCTGAAATCTGACCACAGCCCGTGGTGCAAAGCCACCTCAAGCGAGGCTGTGCTCGTGCCTGGCCGTTCCGTTTGACTGACAACGAAGGGACAAACTTACAACAGGGATAATTAATGATATGTATAAACCCATCAGAAACAAACTCTTAAAACCATCAGATGTATTTTTCCATAGATTAATCAACATGTAATAGCTTAACATCTAACTTGAGAATAAAGATAGGTAATAGATACGGCACAGAATTGGTTGAATGCAAAGAACCCAGACAAAGGCACTTCTAAAGGACTATTTCAGCCCTCTCCTATGACAACCACTTCCCACTTCCCCCAGTTTAGCTCAGGCGGGGCAAATGGATCCCAATATAATTAAAAGTGTATGAAACAAGAATGAAACATGTTCTGCGTTTTTATTTCTGCATGTCTGAGTCCTATGACTATAATCCAAATACTCTAGAAGCTACTGTGGAGTTTCTTCAGCAGAGATCCTCTGGATTTTCCTCTTGGTTACCTTCATCTCACAACTGAATCCTGTAACGAGCTGCCGACACCATAGTTTCAGTACCCTGACGGACCTCGGTGCTGGCTCCTGGCAAGCACAATATTATTAAGCTTTATTCCAAACCCATGCAAGAAAAAGAACGTCTTCCATTCCAACACGCTTTCAGTAACGCTGCGTGTCTTATGTACTTGTTTTGTGATAGGAAATAAAAATGTTCTTAACGGTGAAGAATGGAGAAACTGCTCTTTCTAAACACAGGACATACGTGCATATTTGCTTACGATAGTGTCTAGTCCCTGACACCACAGTGTGCGTGCAAGATTTTTGACTTCCCATCCTATTTCACCTTCCTCCTCCCTGCACAATACACTTGAATCATGGAATGATTCAGTCAGACCTGAAAGTTTATTGTTTCCCGAAAACCGTAACTGAGGAAAGGAGAGAGAGACTATGCCAAGGAGTAAAAGGCAGTGTGAGAGGGACACTCGCCCTGGGAAAGAAGGAAGGGTACCACCAAAAGGGAGCAAATATGCTCCATTTCCAGCTTGCTTGTGGCAGCCCGAGATGAACTATACAGAGCATCTTTCCCTTACACAGGGCGCAGGGGCTGATGGCCTCGTGCCAGGCTGAGATGGGGTGCCAGTGCAGGCCAAGAGATATATATATATTTATATAATTTTTAATATATATATGTAAAAAGAGCCACCCGGTATCAGGACAGACCCCGGGCACGGAGCAGAGGCAGGCACTTGTAAGCAAGACAAACTAGTCTTAGGTGTGACATCATTCTGCGTAACCCTCGAATTACCGCTGCACAACACCTGTGGCTGGCATTGCAAACAAAGTTTGGCTCTGTGGCAATGTACATATATTTTCTTATTCCTTCTCTGCCGAAACTGCGCTGGACCTCAGTGGAAGAAGAAAACCATCGTTATCTGCCTGCAGCCACTAGAGCAGGGCTCACGGCAGCTCCCTGCGCCTCAGCAGTGAAGGGGCATCACCGCACGCTTCCGCAAAAATAATTTGATCTGTCAGCAAGTTCAAATTTTGTGGTACACATGACAGAGGAACAGTATTTTTTTTTTGACAGAATTTATCATCCTGTAAGTCAACACTTCCTAACATCCACTGATTCCCAGTAACAGGCATTAATAGGGTGTAGCACACTGAGTAATACTGAATCTGGGGCAATGTGGCAGTTATGACATTGCCATAATGCCCTGGCACAAGGCTTAAATTCCTAATTGCCGCTGGGTTTCCTGAGTTTAGATTTTGTCAGAATAACGTAACCGACTCCGTTTCTTCCTGACGGCTGCTGAACGTCGCGCTTGCATACTGCAGTAGCTGTAGTGCTCAAAATCAAATGATGTATTTTAAAACTGCAGAAACACTAGATAAATAATCTCACAGTCCCAGAATATGGTAAGAATAAGAACATTTAGGTTGTACAGTCTGCCTGCCTGCTATGGATGACTCCGGTCTGCTCTAGGTAGGAGGTTTCTGTCTAACCCTCACTAAGCCCTTCCAGGCTAAGTAAGCAAACATGGCAAGGAGCAGCATCTGTTATCATTGACCACTAGAATTAATTAAGTACACAAGGTGATGCAGAAAACATCTACATATGTTTTATCAGGCCAGTCACCACCAGCTTGAGTTAGTTAAGCTCTGTTTTTGAACCCATGTCTCACAGCAGGCTGTACTAACTCCATCACAGCAACGCATTGGTACGACAGTATCGTATCACGATTAACCAGAGGGACCGAACAGATTCACACCAAAGGCAGCGGGGACCTTCTGCCCAGAGTTAACACATCCAGACTGCAGATGTTTCGGGGCTGCCACAGAGCACACGGCTGGCGCTTCTGCACTAACCCACGCTCTGTCAGTATTCGGGAATGAACACTGGCTAATGGTAGCTGTAACAAATACGTAAATACGCCCCTCTCCTTGTAGGCATCTAGGGCTTAAATGGTGAATCACCAAACTTTCGGGTTCTTGCTTCTGGAGTAGAGTCCCGAGCCCCTGATGGGCTCTGCCTAGCACAGCATGACACTGAGGCACCTCAGGATGGGACCTCCACGGGGGGACAAACAAAAATCTGCATGTTCATCTGCAGCTGCTCAACAGCAGCCAAGGGGAAAAACTCGGGACAGGAAAACATGAAAGCTAGCCTACCTCTACCCTCCTGTGATTTATACCCTGCAACCTTCTGCAAGCAAGATAGCTGTTAAGTCTGTTAAAAGAACTAAGCAGCAGTTGTATCTCCAAGTCTTCTTGGGAGAAGCGTATGAAACGTATAGAAGCACATACTAGCTGACAATTTGAAAAAATTCAATTCTTCGAAATTCTGTTCTTTCTCTTGGGGAATGTCAGTGCCACATCTTTTTCTTCCACAAGGAGTGCCTAAAATATTAAGCTATACCCTGATAACAGTAGATTATGGCACTTTGCTTTCCCCTTGTTGAAACCGTGCCATTGTACATGTGAAGAATACAAGCTTCCCAGTTCAACAGTCCTAGTACCTGTGTTCTAAGAAGAGGCTGATCCTCTACTTTATAGCTGTTGCATTTTATGGACATTTATAGTGCAAAACAATCCTAGCACAGAGAACAACATCCTAAAGTCAGCATAGTTTCCTGGCTGATACATTTACTGCTTTTAATGCAGTTTGAAGTTGTAAAGTCTCTCAGGAATTTGCTGTACAAAAGCAAGCCAAGCTTACAAAAGCCTTAATTACAGCACTGCAGAATATAACAACTCACTGTGAAATACAAGATAAAGACAATTCCACAAAGAAAACATAAAATAGTCCTGCTCAAAGCCCAAGAAACAACACTTCCTATGAAATCCTGACTCCGATTATACTTACAGCCTAAGCATCCAAACTGCTCGGAGCAACACTGGTAATTGTAAGAGCACTGATACTGTTGTGTCTGATGACATCTAATGGAAAACTTTGTAATAAGGGTGCTTCCCCTGAAACAGTTCCTAAAAATACAGTCGGCACTTAACTCGAGCACCTTCACTACTATTTCTAAATTGACATAAACCCCTCTCAGAGCAAAATCACAAGTGGGAAACTTGGAAACTATCTTCATCTCATGTGCTCGTAATTTCCCGGAAGCTGGGTCTCCTGGCTGTAGTTTACACTGACATAGTTAAGAATTTTGTTAAGACTCAAACTTTGCCACTATTACCACTGCGAGAAAAAAAAGGCATAGACAAAAGTAACTTGAAGTTCAGCAACTGTACTGGACTTCTGGAAGTTATAGACAAGACGGAGGTAAAGAGGGAGTAAGCCTGACTTATCATCCTATAGCCTTGACTAGAATGGCAACCGTTGCAGTACCTACAACATCAGAATCGGTACTTGCTGTTTTTCCTTACAGAACGGGAATCACTGCAATGCAGTGGTAAGAGCATCTACTGTGAATGGTGTGCCTCCAGCTTGATGCAAAACAGATACACAAAGTGGATACACTTGATTGAAGAGCACAGTGTTCTGTTTGGTTATTTTTACGTGATTACCATACCTGGAAAGCATTTATAAGTATAATCATGATTTAAGTTGTGCCACGCTGTTCTTAATTTTCAACAGGCTATTATGTTTTAAAATGAGATTTTACCTTACTTGGCTGGAATCCATTGTAAATAATCCATAGAGGAAAATAGCAGGAATAAGCATTCCAGTATACCACCCCAACCAGGCAAAATACAGTCCAATTTTTTCACCAAAATATCGCCTACATGAAAAAGAAACACATACATTGTTTAAAGTTAAAACATATGATGACCTCTATCTATCCTCACAGTAGTAGAATAATTCTAATGAGGAACTACCGTTACAAGTTCTTAGTAAAATTATTGTCTGTTTACCAAAACGTTTCATTTCAGGCTAGCATAACATTCTAGTGACGTAAACAACAGACTTACCAGGTATTTTTTCTATTATATTTTCTAAGTATATAACTGAAGTGCTCTGTAATTTTCATGTCCTTGCAATGACTAAGTAGATGTACTAGTTTCAACATTATTAAATGTAGGACATTTTATTTGCACACACAGAGACAGATATACACACACAATCTCTGGAAAGGGATAAAGTAAGTTGGTATGACCTATGTATTCCGTTATAAAAAGCATTTAGGATAGATAAACACGTAATATGATGTATTTCAAACTATTATTAGAGAAAACAATGGATTGAAAACACAAGTTGAAGATTGTGCTTTAATTCTTCAAAACTTGGCTATCAGTTGCTGGAAGAGATGAAGCAGCAGCGATCACAAAGTCAGTCACGGATTTTGATCAGCACAGAATTGTCCCATGGCACTCGCTCAGCTCCACAGCCTTCAGTGGAACAATACTGGGCACAATGATGAGTTATGACTGTCAGATCAGGATTAAAAACTGGCAGCAAGGAAAAATGAATTATTGTATTCAAAGTCAAAGATGACGAAAGTATGAAACCCAAACGTCACAATTATTTAACTTCAATTACATTATTTCTCTGCTTTACATTTGGTACTCTATGACATTAATTATCAGATATATAGACGGTTTATCTAAACCCATGCGGAAACGTAACAATTAGGCTGCATTTTCCCTCCACTGGATCTGGTAACTGAGTGTCTGTGGAGGTAACCTGTTTGCTTTCGAAGGTGCTCTCATGAGGGGCAAGTGCCTCTGATCAGCAGACCACTTCACGGGTTTGTATTCTAAGTTTCTCAATGCAAATTGTCAAGCAACTGGATCTACGTGCCTTTTATGCAGCCTCACTTGAAATTACCAGGCCTGCACAAAAGACCATGCAAAAGAAGCAACTTAAAGAATTTCGGTCTTACCTGATGATATTGAATAGCTAAATTTTACAAGAAAGCATAAGGACAAGGAATTTACCAGTATGGTTAATACACTGTTTCCAGGTTGATTTTATCACAGCAAGAAGCTACTCTTCAAAGTACTAATACCTGATTAAATCGAGAGGCTGGTATTTGTACCACATTCCCCACCGTGCCCAGCGCTCATATAAGAGGTGTCTGTGATTCTGAGCTCCGTGTGTTTTGATGGGATGTCTGCTTTTGTGGCTTCCCTGAAAAACATAAGGAAATAAAAGTATATTACTTGGCATTATGGAAAATACACAAATTTCATAGGTATTTGGATAGAATTTTAAATGAGGTGTTCAATATTTTTAATAAAGAGGTCATCTGGAGCTAACACGTAAGCCTGACAGAAGAGACACGGTTACATATGTTCTGAAATGGGCAGTTTCCCTAAGAATTAATGATAGAACCATATTAGTACAAGAATATAAAACACTACTCATCTGTTTATATGGCTTCAAGGATAGTCTCTCTATTTCACTAATATGTGCTTATTTGTATGCTTTTACCTATTTCAATTTTTCAAAATTTTTCATGAGATATTTGTGGCATCTTTTTCTCTCCTATAAAATTTTAGAAGTTTCTGGTATGTCAGCTCGGTTCTCCTCTCCTAGACATTTTCTATGACTTCATTTGACTCCTGTTTAAAAATATAGAAAAACAGTCTTTCTGTGCTACATATTTTCTAAGATGATGGAAACAAGAGAACTGGCATCATTTTGAAGCTACACAGGACTCTCAGAGGCATTAGAAGCAAAGCGCAGTCAGTCTGACCCAAAAGGAGTCCTTCCAGACTGCCCGACCTCCTGAAAGAATAGCCTCGTGCTCAGCAGTTGAAAGATGACACACAGATTTGCTAGAACTATCCTAAGCAGAATCTCTCATATGTGTAACTGTACTCCAATTCTGAAGCAGGACATGTCCTTTAGTTGAACCATCTCCCTCCAAAAGACCCCACCACTCAGTTATGGTAAAGAAAATCCTTCATCAAATAACTGCAAGTGAGCCAAATCGTTTCTTGGGAGGAGAGCAGAACTCCCCAGAGCCGTCCTTCAGAGTTAGCAATCAGACACGTTTTGGACCCTGGTAGATCCATGTAACTCAGCCATTAGATTTTTATCATTTATTTGAAATCTTGAGCATTCCCCGCAATTGAAAGAACACTATTTACTTGTTGCAATCTGCTGACCCTCTGGTTTAAGAATGAATTAAAACCAGAGCTAAACAGAGCAAAGAGTCCATTGAGTCATTTCTCATTGCAGCCCAAAGCAGCGCACCAAAAATGTCAACAGTGAGACCTTTGCAACACCTAGGAACAGAACATCAATTTTCACTGCTCATTGTGGAGGGGTTGGACTAGCTGATCTTTAAAGGTCCCTTCCAACCCAAACTATTCTATGATTCTGTAACTTATTCTCACAGTCACGTGGATGAACGACTGCAGTGCATAAAGCACTACCCAGTATTGCTTTTATTTTTTTTTTTTTCTCCCCCTGCTTCTTTTTGCACTGTTTATCCATAACAGAGTTCAAGTCTCAGCATACCCACTGGGACTAATTTTTCACTCATTTGCTTGTGTGATAAAGAAAAAATTAAAAAAATAAAAATAAAAATTGAGAGTGTTCAACCACTAGCCCCAGTCAAGCAGCAATTAAGGTAAGAGTGGCTTAAAAATATGACTTCATTAACCTTAATGGAAACTTTGAAACAGTAGTTTATGCCATAATGGAGGAACATATACATAAAATGGATATCACAGCATGCTTTGCCAGCCAGAGAAAGCTTCACAAGTTTTTCTGGTACTTCACAAGCTTTTCCCTGAAGTCAGCAATGCACAGCTGAAGTGTTAAAAGTGATGTTCAATTATTTATCGAAAACACTCCTTCTCTATATTCCCAGTATTTAATTATTAACACTATACAAAAAAATTACTCTCAGCCATTTGTAAAGCACAGGTCAGTGTTTTGAAACACGAGACCAAGTCACAATATTCAGCCCGAGCAACCACAGAGCTCGCAGCCGCAGTTACCACGCTGCTGCTGGGCACTGGAAATGGCTGAGGACATGTGCCTTGCTGCTTTCTTTTCAAGACACACAGATTGTCTGAAAACCCTCTGAAGTCAAATGCAAGTTTTTCCTTTACTTCACAGGTTTAGAGTCTTCAGTAGACTTTAGCCTACTGAAAAAGATATTGGCAAGTGGAAGTTATCCAGAACTATTCAGAAGAGGCTAAACGGGAAAGAATTAACCAGTCTCCCTAATGGGGATCAAGCGCACAAGCTATTAGAAAAACAGAACATTTTGTAGGTGGCAGGCAAAAATAATTTAATAGAACAACTGGAACAATTTGCAACAACCGATATTCTCATTAAGAACTCCACAGGCAATGTCCGGTTCATAAGACTAAAAAAAGAATTATAGTATTCTAGTTCAGCAAGAAAATGCTCCAGGAGGTTATTGTAATACATTATGTAAGAAAAATTTTAAAAGCAATATTAAAGTCAGAACTATAAATAAAAAAAAAAGTCTCAACACATTACAATAGTGAAATCACAAGTTTGCAGGACAAAATTAAAAATAAAGTTGGATCTCAAAACATTAGTGCAAACTTTAATTTAAATGTAAATGCAAATACAAAATCAAGCAGGTTACCTCATGTGGTGGAAAAGCTGCTTCATACGTTCCATTATTTAGTAATCTATTAATACCTACAAAGAAAAAAGCAGTAGTTCTGGTATCAGGGTTTTATACACATTTAATTTCAAGCAGTACGAATTTTCAAGTTAGATATTGAGAATGTAACTTAGCATTAGATGCTCAGGATGCTGCGAAACATGACAAGAATCGATAACCCCACCAACTGTTTGCGAAGGGCGTGTCGATCCCTCGAAATTTCTGGCTCTGTCAAACTACAGCAACTTTCTGAGGGCCAACGTCTGCAACTTTCCTCTCAGGGTTGGGTGCTCGTGCCAGATCAAGCGTGAGAAGATAGTTACCTTCACGTTGTATTCATCAGGGCACAGGACACAGAGTTTACGGGTGACGAGATGATCTGACGTACACAGAGGGAGGTATGGACAGACACCCCTTGAGGCAGCAGAACCCCTGCACAGCTAAAAGCTAACCTGTTGTTATTTTTAAATACAAGCCAGCTGAAGGAGTTGTGTTGGAGCAGTGCTCTGCACCATATTGGCTACAGCATTTTGGATCGGTTCCCAGAGCCTTCCTAAAAACAGATTTGTTGTACTATCAAAGCATATTATCAGAAATAAATAACAAGTAACAATTAATAATTATGATAAAAAGATCCCAGAGCCTGTAATAGCACACCCATGGCCAAGAGTTTCCCTGAGAAATAAATATGATTTCAGATTTGTCCATTCAAATATACAAATTATGCCAAACTAACCTCGTAATGAAATTTGCCATCATCAACTTCAAAGGCATTAAGTTTAAACCCTTGCTTTCTATGTTTTTCTTACTACTGCTTTTCTTCAGAAACTCAGGTAACAACTTTCCGTAATTTCTATTATGTTCGTGAGTATGTCTATATATATTTAATTATTAATTTAATTCCTGCAAAGAAAACAGGAAATCATACATACATCCCCTGTTCATTGTAAATGAAAATGAATAGTTGGACCTTCTAAAAAATAACACTGTAACAGGAGTGTTGATATAAACCGAATTTGGTCTTCAGGTCTACTGTCTCTGAGTTGCACGGAGACCTCAAATAAGTTAAGTGTAGCTCACATTGACCCTGCTGGACTGGAACTGCTGGGTAGTAGCAGAACTACTAGGACCAGTCCTTAAAAACACTCAACAGTTTCCTGAGGTATATATTATCTTTATCGTGGCTCTTGATCACGTAAAGTTATCATAATGTCTCCACTTCATTTTAAGGAATGAGTAATTAGGTGAAAATACTGTCATTTTTCACTGAGTTATTAAGAAAATAATTCATGTGACATTCCCTCAACTTTGTTATCGAGCAAATAAGAAGATTTCAAAGAGCGGCAAAATTAGTTGAGTTTACTCAAATGATCCTTTTTCAGGCAAGTAAAGATACAAAATTTTTATAGCTTCAGGTAGGAAAAAAATACAGCATTCTCACCCATTTTGGATTTTCCATCTTCATACTTAGTTCTCTGTAGCATGTGATGCACGATTCTACTTCTTGTGGAATTGCTGAAGAAGCTGTCTTTGTTGTTTATTGTAAAACTATTAAAATAATGAATGTCTTTTAATATTCAAAACAATGCATGGGTGTTGAAACATTGCTGCTCAAGTGTTTTCTGCTTACAGTGATTTACTGAATCTTTATCCTCCTCGGTTACTGCACAAGATATAAGATTTTACATCCCTAGAGCACCTTCTCAGGTCCAATAAATTTATCATCATCACAGATTACGGTTGGGAAAACAAAGTAACTAAAGGTAAATTCGAATATATCCTACTATACAGATAATTTCTGTTCTGGATATAATTAATTAAAAAATAAAAGAGCTTCAGAAGCAGTGGTTCTTCTCAAATTCAAGTTACTTATGAGTTGGCAGATGTCTGTGTCATGGAACTACCAAACCTACTATTTAGGAAAAAAAAGTTATCTCCATGCACCAGATGCTTGAGGGGCAGCTCCACAAGCACTTTCCCTCAGAGAATCCTGGGATAGAGCCAAATAAAGCATTATTTCCCAGATGGCTCTGGATTCTGGACGCCAGAAATCTGACATGCAGGAGCTTTTGCCTACTCAGCTGTGCCAAAAGTGACACTATTACAGTCGACAACGTCAGCTGAGCAGGTTGAGAAGTAACACCAAAACCAGGTGATTGATCCAATGCACTATAGTCAGCTACTGGGGGAAAAAAAAAAAGAGATTATAATGCAATTACTGCCTTTCCAGGGTAAAGTCAGTCCACTACCACATAGCTTCTTTACTGAGGAGAAAAAAACCCCACTTATTTAGCCTAATTTATACTTGTACTTTAAATGAACTTTTCTCTCCTACAAGAATTATCACAAAATATTTTAAAAGTGAATAAACAGCCAAAATTTTAAAATCTAACATTTTGGGTCCTGAACAAATTTGTGGCACAGTTTAACTACATCACCATGAACATGCTGATTTGAATACATACAGTTTTGATTTCGTGTGTGTATATATATATTTATACTTTCAGAGACAAAAGATCTGATAAGAAAGAATAAAATAATCACTGGATTTAGCTTGCCTCCAGGTGTCCCCAATTTCAACACCTGTCTCAGGTTTTGCCTAAATAAAATATGTAATTAACAAAGCAAACTTGAGCAAGTATTTGCATTTTGTAATGTAGTGGAAAGAAAAGCTTCTAAACCAAAAAGGCAGCGTTCATTTTTCAGTCAAATTTCTGCCTATACTTCTGAATGACCATCCAAGAGCAAGTAACAGAGAGTAGATTCTGCCTTTAAGAGAAAACCCATCGAAAACGTCAAATATGATACTGGGTATTTGCCAATGACCATCTGTTAATGGCTGCCTCTATGGCACTTGCTTAGAAGTGAGAAAATGAAAAAATCCTTGTGGTCTCTGGCACTGCCTTTCCCGTTCCAGCACTTACTGGTGTATGCGTGCGCGGCTAAAGGGTGCCGTGTAGCAATCTGTTTCCTCCAGATCAGGCAGGGCCTCCTTATCAAGCTTCATTGGATTTCTGGGCAACCAGCTCTTCAGTTCTCTCATATTCCTCTGCAAACTGAGGCAATAAGAAACCAGATTTACACCTTCTCACCTCCTTGTTATTTTGATCTCCAACATTGCATATTTAGTGACATCATACTAGAAGTGGGATGAAAGCAGGAAATTTCCACATTAAGTAACTAAACGAAAATAACGAGTTAAAGAGCAAAATTAACGCTATTTCTTGCGATCTGTCTTGCACACTTTACTTGAGCACAACTTATCTTCAAATTAGTGGGATTACGGTTTGAGATGGAACTGGAGTGTTGAGTCTGGGGAAAATAACTTTCCAAGGTGGTGCATCTGGCAGAACTGTGAATGCTCATGCTTTACTCAAGAACGTATCTTAATTACTTTCTCTAGCTCCACGGGAAAAGGCAAGTGTAACTCCTCATCCCTCCCTTGTCTGGCAACTCGGACACTGAAATTCATAGAATTTGAAAGTAAATACGAGACTGCTCAGCACGAAATTTTTAAGGTCTTCTGATTTCAATAAAGCCTTCCCCTGCAAAATCTTCCTCAAAATCCAAGGGCTGATATTGCTTTACAGCACAGTATACCTAAACATCAAATAAAGGATACATTATACAGATATGGTTATATACGATTTAGACGAAAGCCCTAGGTATGGCTTCCTGCAGTTTCCTAAAAATTGACACTAGAAAAGACAAGCAAAACATAATTTTTCGTATTCCAGGTTAGATTATATACTGGCAACATAAAGGGTTTTCTTCTATTAGCAGCTTGCCTAAATAGTGTCTCAGGACATGGTTTATACAGGGGTGAATCTAGTGAAGTGCAGTTAATTTTCAAGCAAATGATAAAGTTATCTCCTTATCACTTCAATTTTGCACTCCTTGCTGACCGATGTGTTTTTCATATTCAACTTGCAATGAAATACGGGTATTTAAGGAGTAGGTCTCGTATTAAAGGAGTGCTGTATTATGATACCGTAAGCGTATCAAAGAGCCAGAAAAAGCCTAAATTTTAGAAAAACGTTCCCTACATAATCTTTTTTTCAGTGGGATTTGGGCCTTACTCAGTGAACATGTATGCATGATATAAGGCATATATATTGCATATCCACAAAAAGTGTAAAGCTAAGTATCAGATTTTTTAATCGAGGTGAATACTTAATTGCCTGTGCTAAGCAGTAGCACAGCTACCCATTTCATACCTCAGAGTAGTAAGTGATGACCCAGTAAGTGGCTCTCAGGCAAAGTGACCTTTGTGAAAATGTACCTCTTGTTATCAACATCAGCAAAAAGTTCTACCCCTACTTGACGCAGCGTCAGACAGAAATCTAAGCCAAACGTGGGACCAGAATTTTACATTTAAGATTCTCAAAATTTTCTTCTTGCTATATATTGCCAAGGTGTTGGTGCTCACTCTGTACGCAAGCGGTACCGCACTTGAGGGACTCCACTCTGTTTGACACTAAGCATTATCAGCCAAAGAACACAACTGTGTTCATAGAGCTGAAACCCAGAACGCAGTTCCCAGGCAGGTGCATCCCTTAAGTGCCTCCTTTGCTCAAATAATACCTTACTGTGTGAGCTGATTATTGGTTCCAGTGGAAGTTCTCTTGCTACAAACTTATACGTAGTGCATTTAAGTGGTTTTCACTTTATTTTCTTCATCGTTGTTCTGTTGTACACATGCTGATTTTTTTTAGAATCAAAACCCAGGCTTTTCTTAATGGGGAAAATATGCGGGTGCATCAGGAAGAAGAACAGAAAAACTTGATCATTTTCCCCCTTGAAATACATAAAAAACTAGTAGATAATTATTGTCTTAAAGAAATTAGGTCATGTTTAAAATTAATGTCTGCTCCTTTTTACATGCAAAGTAATGAAGAACAGTAGTGGAATAAATTAAAAACTATGTCCACATTACATTTGCAATTTCTTTTCTGAAGCAAAAAGGCTTTTTATCTAAGGTATGATTGCTTTTTCATTACGTCAGTTATGGCTGATCACTCCAAAACTTCGTGCCTTCAGAGAGCATAGAATATTTCAACTGAAAAGTACCTCCCTGCCATGTATAAAAATAATCCAGCAGGAGAGACCTCTTTTCCTGGCTTAGATTATTTTACGGTTGAAGAAGAAACTTAAGTTTCACGGAGCTTTCATTCAAAGCGATAACGAATTTAAAGACAGATTTTTGTCTAAATCGTAGGACTAAGTATCAGCAGTTTTACTCAGAGTGGCTTTTCTAGGTCAAAAGTAACAGTTTAAATGGATTCCTGACTTAATCTATTCAGTGTAGTCTATTTAACAGGAGTAAAAGCAGACAGAGCTGGTCTGGTGAAGCCACTCATGAAGTCAGGAGTTCGTGCAATGAGATCAAAAATGTCCCAGTGGAACAGTGCTGCTGCTGCACGTACGCTCCCACTGAAACCACTCCAGCCGGCATATACACACATACGCTTTATTATTAGACAGAAAATTTAATATATTATGAAGATGCCTGTAATTTCAGCTTTATTCAACTTCCATGTTCAACTGTGCTCTTCTATTTGGTTGGTGGTTCTTTTTTGCAGAACTAGTAAGCCTTGCAGATCACATTTACTCGGCAGACTGCAATGCAAAGAAACACGGCGCAGGTGAGTTTGGACTTATCTGACCGGAGGCTTGAAGGGGACACCATACCGGTCATGTCAGGTGTTTTTGACAGCAGTCACCTCCCGGTAGTTTGCTTCGTGTTTGCGCCCCTGAGGAAAGGCCAGAATGGTCAACCAGATGCCTCCAAATGACACGGGCATGGTATCTTTCCATGTTTTGTAATGGGAAACGCGGTACCGTTGACAAATTCAAGATATGGACAGAAACACCACCAAAAACCGAAAAATAGTGGTACTATGTTTGTTCAATGGAACGATAGTAACAATGTCACTTCAGTGTGCAGACTGAAATCCAAAAGGTTTTAAAAGCCTTTTGCAAAGAAAACTTACTGCAGCTCAGTTTTCAGCTAAACCAAGTCATTTTTGGTTCTCCATCCGGAGGAGCATAAATTCATTTCAACGTTTCAGGGGGCAGTGTGAAGCTGCATACTAAGGCAGCTACCTTTTAATTTTCTTTTCCTCAAAGCCATTCTTAATCAGCATGAAATCGGTGTGTCTGATAAGGCAGACACCAGACTGATTCATTAGATGACTCAGTCTTAAATCTGAGAGTTCAGACAATTTTTGACACCTACATTCTCTACTTGCATGCCCCACTTCTAGCGACTTCCTTCCCTTTGAAAAGATGTGTTGAAATGTTGCTCTTAAGGAGCCTCACAAAATTATTTCTGTAGTGTGCGCCTATGAATGGAATTCAAGCTTCACAGGATTAGGTACAATGCTGAGGTGTTTTTTTAAGCTACGTAAAGAAAGAAATAGAGGAATACCACATAGATACCACATATAAGATAGACAGTATGCCAGTAAGCATTACCTTTATCTTCCATGCTCCTAATAATCTTTTGTAGACTTTTTAAAGGACATCTATAGATACATACATTTACCATATAACCATATCAATAAATTCAAAGAAATGTAGGTGTCACAGCAAGGTCTAATATACTAGTCTTACCTCATCTTCTTAAATTATAGAAACTCTATAGCTTTAAAATTTTACCTTTGATATACAAAGATTTTAATATAATTCTTCATCGTAGCTCTTGTAAATTCCACTTAAGTTAGAAATATTAACAAGATTTGATAAATTACAGAGAAGCATTTAAGTTTGAAAAGTTGTAAGATGCAAAGAAACAAGGATAGTCGTAGCAGTTAAAATGATGAGATGTGATGACAGCAATTTTTGGAGTTAGCTTTCACTTTAAGAGATAGCTTCTTTTTCTTCCTTTTCACACTATTACTTTGCGCTCCGGGTTGTATAAAGTGGCAGAGGAAATATTCAGAAAAACATTCATCCCCGAATTCTCAGAAAGTAAATCACAAGTAAAAACATTTGCCTCAAATGAAAAATCAATCTATCTGGCACAAAAATTGTTTATTCCTTGGTTCACAGGTACTGTGCAACTTCAGTTGCACGTTTCAGACATTTGTCCTTCTAAATAAGGAAAATAAATGTATTTCATATCTAGGACTCACGAGATGGATTACAGATGAAGTGAGACAATTTTGCAGTAAAGCTTCTTGATTTTGCCTTTGCATTACAAAGCACATCACTTACATTTTTCATAACGCACACTAAAATGGAGCAAGCATGTGAATGACTGGGAAGAGGAAAAACTGCAGTTGTAAATTTATGTTATAGATTTGTTTATTTCAATATATTTTCCCCAATTATGCTTAAAGTTTTCTCAGTTTACTGTTCAACAGTGCTTCATCTATTTTTGTTAGCTAATCATCTTGCAAACTGGTATGAAACTACTTAAATTGTTCCTAAGAAATAAGGAGAGCTCCTCATCACTTGCAGTAACAACAGGAGAACCTAAATCAAATGCAATCTGATCTCAAGATCCATCTCGAGAAAAGCTGCGGTAGAAAACTCTTTCAAGAGATTTCCCTCATGTAAAAAAATTTCATCTCTTTTGCAGGTAATTAGGATTTACAAGACATCATTATGTTTGACTAGAGCAACGGGGAGTGCTCACAGTGTCCCCCATTCCCACTCCCCAGCTCCCCCAGGCTCCTTTCGGCCGCTGCCGTGGCCTCTCCCGGCTGACAGAAGCAGCAACAACGGCAGCAGCCGCCGGTGAGGTTTGCAAATATCTGCCTCCAGAGAGGTAAACAGCTTTTACTGCAGTGCACAAGTTATTCTGTCAGCTACCAAGTAAAAATAAAAAACAGACTTTGGTGTGTGGCATAGATTCAGTCCTGATCACCAGGACGTGCATGAGAGAAATTACATTTGCGTGTCTAAGGAAATAGCTGACTACCAGAATCTGAGACATGCACCCAAAAGTACCTTCCATGCTAAAAAAAATATGCCTTGGTAACAGCAGACATAACTGTAGAGATAGCTCCAGCATTAAATCTTTGCTGCCAGGATAAAGCCTTTTGGTTTTTTTTTTTTTTCCTGGCATAAACACTTTTGCATTTCTAAAATGAGAACTGGCAAGGCTTTAAAGTACTGCGACTTGTTACAGATGAATATTTTATCACTTTCAGCTAGCATATTTTGAGTTTTCAGGAAAATAGTCTAATTTTCCAAGTTTCCTGGATAAATTTACAACTGCGAATGGATTTTCTTTAGCAGGGTGACCACCTGACAAAATGAGAAGCTATACATCACCCACCAACCTGCCCATGGTTTTGCTCCTCCAGTCAGTGTAATAACATTTTTTCCTGAAAGAACAGTAAAAATCAGCTGAGAATAATCAAGAAGACAGTTGAAAAGGACATACACATTATAAAAGAATGAGTCATTTTAAAACATGCATTTTCATAGGCAGAAAGGTGAAAAACACTTAAACAAGGCAACTGAAATAGAGTAAGTGATTAAAATGCTGTGATTTCACGTATTTCCAATTTCAAAGTTTGTTCCCGGGTCAAAATTAAGTTTTAGATTTGTGGCTAATAACAGTAATAATAGCAGCTAATCAAGAATTCATTCATGAGACACTTATCAGACAGGGTTCAATGGTGTCATGCTAGTATTCATTTCATGCGGTCTTTCTTAGCTTTTATTTCATAAAACTCATTTTAGAAGACTCACCAAGGCTTCCATGCTATTAAATGCTTTATGCACTCTATGCATTAAATACCACAAGCACTTAACGCCATTAGATCTATCTTCATTCTCCGAAGTGGTACACCATCACCTTCCCTTGACATTTTGCATCCAACTGAAGAACAATACACAGCCCTAAAAATCTAAGAGTACTAACTGCAACAAACAACTTTTATGTTAACAGTTCTCTTCTCTCTATCCTTCACTGCTTATAGAAACTTAGAGAAACAAGACCAGAAATTCCCAGTAAAGTCTTCTGAGAACAGTTATTTTGAAACCATGGAGACATACTTGCTGCAATGTAATATTTTACACGTCCAGTTTCTTTTTTTTTTTTCTTCCCCCTGGCCTCTTCCTGTCATTTCATGTCACATTTCAACTACACAAAGACCTTGATCTTGCAGATTCCTGCGGGTATCTGTATCTACCATGGCACTCATCTGGGGATAGTGAAGTTCAGCATCAGGGGCTTTGCTCCTCGCTTAGTTCATCTTCTACTTAAAACTTGCTTAAATCCTTTCTACTTCTGCAAGGTTTATTTTTTAGAAGGAACTAAAACAAGCTTATTTGGATACATTAATATAAAAGTTTAACATGATTTTCAGTCAATATTTTATGCCCCCGTCATCCCCTTTCTAACACACACAAAACCAGTACTTTCACTCTGGATCCTTCTCCATCACTTCTTAGCCTAGAACCATTCGTAGTCAACAATATCTGCAGCTGCTCATCTGGGCAGTATATGAGATTGATTAAAGTACGTTACTTACATTAAAGTAACAATGAAATGACTACAGGAAAAGGAGTGGGAATGAAATGTTGCCTAGAAAATTAGACGGCCATTGGCAAACGATGTATCTAGCAAGCTGCAGGCTGCTGGCAGCCTGACGCTTGGCACTAACTGGGCAGAACTGCGAACAAAGCAATGAAGAATTATTAAAGGATTTTCTGACGTTACATTTTTTAACAAAACCCTTCCCTCATTCCCTTTAACTGCCCTTGACAATTGTTTTGCACAGATGGAGTCCAGCTAAGCTACAGATACAACTAAATTATTATTGTGTGTAATGAATAAATATGTGTCACAAGAGATACCTGTAGACACCGAAAATTAACCTTTTGTCTGAGCTTCCGAAATATATGAGAGCTTCATTTCTACTGACAGATCACATACTTAACAAAAATACCTATAAATATTTTTTTAAAAAAGTGTAATTCAGGCATGGGCTAACCTTGGTGCTAACATAAATCCTGTTTAAAACCATATACAACAGTGATTACCATCTACTCTTTTGAAATGCTAGAAAAATTTCCTTTTGTAATCGAAACACTGAAATTCCATTTAGATTACATATATGACATATAGTATATATCTGCCAACACATGTAGGTATAATGCCGTGCTAAAACAGTTCTGGGATGCTGGGTGGTCCTTTGGGTCAGAAAAAAGCAATTTTACTTTTCAGCAACAGAGAGAAATACTTCTAAACCCGAGTAATAGTTCTACTGAGTTTGTTTCGATTCCTGGATTGAGCAAAATTAACCGAAAAAGTATGAGTTTACTTCTTCAGGTATTATTAATATATGCTACTGACATAAAGCATATTTTAGCGACCATAACCGAAAGGCAAAAGTTTGCAACGCAGTGCAGGAGAACGAGGGTGCACTGCATTGAAGTACTGAAGGGAAGGTTAGCTTTCTTCTTCAATTACATATTAAAAATGGACAGTCAGAAGCCACTGATAAATCACATCATCATCATCAGGTTGGAAGGGACCCATAAGGATCATCAAGTCCACCTCCCTGCTCCTCGCAGGACTACCTAAAACTACCTAAGGACTACCTAAAACTTCTTGGGAGGGAAGGACTCTAGTTCCTTGTAATCATGGGAGAATTGTGTGATTTGAGCTTCCTCTGTCCACTGAATGGAGAAAATAATTACCTCGGGAAAACAACATATGCCATCTAGTTAAGAAAGGTTTGATTTAAATAAGCAAGCTCAAGACTTAAAACGAAAGTGCTTTTGAACTTGTAATTAAGGAACATGCAATTAAATTCTAAAATGTGTGGTCACAAGATGTTGTTACAGAAGTATGGATGACTATTCTTGCATCCATGAAAAGCCATCAGGGTTAATATGAAGAAAGATGAAGACATGAACTCTGCCTCAGAAAGTCTCTAAACCACAGCCTTCTGGAAAGAGAGAAGGCATCGTGGAACGCTGATCTAGATTTCCTGGCTTCTGTATTGGACACTGTAAACAGGCTGCTGGCAGAGCAAAACAGACCTTCGTTCTATTCTGCTACGTCCACTTTGGGTTCACAATAAAACCGTGTTCGCTTTGATTTTTTTAAAAGTATGGAAATTAAAGGAATAGCTTATTTGAAATGTTCACGCAAGTTTTAGATTGCAATTTCATTTAAATTCCTATTAAAAGCTTTTTAAGAGAAAAGAAATGGTAATCAATTTACTATTTTTCAGAGTTCTATTATGGAGGTAGAGGTGGACAGTGGGCTTTTTTCTTACCAAATAAATGTATTTCATTCTACAGCAACACTGCCGAGAAGGTAAAGCAACAAAATTTAGCATTTTATCTACTATTGGTATACTGAATTGAGTGGGATAAAAAAAAAAGTTAAAGCAACAGCTCAAACAAAGAAACACGTATCAGAGACTTTGGAAAAAAATATTTACATGTCAGTTAATAATACAATAAACAAACAGGACTTTGAATACCTTCCAAATAAAGTAGTATTGCAAGTCAGCCCTTCTTTTTTTTTTTTCTGAAGAGTACTACTGATTTGTGAAATTCCTAAAACAATGAAGGATTCAAACCATTGTGAAATCCTAACTTAATTTTATGACTTCAGGTACCAAAAGCAAGAAAAGCAAGAACTATTTTTGCATTGGAATTTACATTGTTTATGTGTATGTACACACATATGCCAACAGTTCTATATTTAAAATGTTGACAAGAATTATTCAAACTGGAGAAGCTCAAATGGTACTGTAATAATATTCTCAAACATATGGAAGATGATTGTTACAGAAAACATTTTTTTTTATGGAAACGACTTTGACGGCTTAATAGGTCGATATGGAAACTCAGTATAGAGCTGGGTATTTGAAACGAGTTTTGAGCAAAGGATGCTTCATGATGACTGATTCTGGCTTAGGACCGATGCAAGAGAGCCACATTGCGATAGCAAAGTCAGCAGGGACGTGAATTGCCAAGTGCTCTATCTCTCAAGTGAGAAAGGAGTGCTGTGAGGGTATTCTCCGTCAAGACACACAGCTTTGGCATCTGGCTACCACTTCAACTCCTGAAGAGGTCTACAGCACACTACATGCTCTTCTCCCGCTGGAAGGACATTATTAACTGATATGAAAAAGGACATTTTCTCCTTTAGACACTTCTGTATTATTGCAGGAGATATTAAATTGTCCTACAAATATATGTTTTCACAACAAATATTTGTCATTTGATAGAATTTCTTTAGCCCATAGACAAGGAACTCAGTTCAGCTCCTTACTTTGCCAAAGGGAAGCTAGAGGACCAAGAAATAAAGGCACCTCTTTTTTTCCAAAGTATGCCAATATGTGTTATATTGGAGACACAGAAGCACCACCTATTTCTGTCATTTCACTTGTCTTTGGGTAAGACTTCAGAAATACCCTAAAATCACGGAGAATATTTGAGCTCCGATGGAGAATACCTGAAACTCTGCCAAGGACATTCAAAACAATGTGTGAACTATTAGCAGTATTTTCTAAAGACACCTGCTCGATTTGACTTGGAAAGTATGCTTGAAAACAAGTACTGCAGGTAAATGTGAAAAGAACAGTGCCTGTTATTTGTTTCTCCTCTCTCCACATCATTTTAATAAATTAAATATAAGCATGCCCAGCCACAATGCAGCAAAGACTGCATTTTAGCCTTAAGGCAAGTAATGAAGTTTTATTAAGCATTAAATGACAAGTTTCTTAAAATAGTTTCCACAATACCTGAAAGGCATCCTGATGTTCATTCTTTCTGCGTATTTGCACAACGTCTCCCATGGACAGTGAATTTTAACAAACATGATATCACTGTTTGTAACAGCTGGCTGTAAAGAGCAGTAACAAATAAATACATATTAATAATTCAAACCTCTATGGCATCCAGCTCTCTAAAAGCATTCTTCTTCAGGGTCAAATTCTGCTTTTAGCCCTGAAGTGGCCATGCAAGTCTGAAAACACTCTAAGTGCTCTGAGCTAGACAAAGGAAAATTAATAACTTTTTTCTCTCCCAAGCCCTATAACATGAATAAACTAGTAACTGTCAAAAGGAATCTCTAGGGCAGATCTTTGCTCATAAACACAGCAGAAGTAGAGATAGGCTTTATGCAGCATTTTTTGACATGGAATAGATGAATTAATTTTAAATCCCCTCAAATCATCTTAGATGAGCAGTCCGAACACCATCCTGTGTGTCTCCCATTTAAGGAGAATAACGCTCAGCTGCTAGAGACGCAAGAACAGCGGAGAGAAGGCTGCCGGTCCCACTCTGCCCAAATGGTACCTCCAGGGAACGGTTAAGCAATTGCGGTATCTGCTACAAACTCATAAGCGTGATCTCTGTATGAACTGAGATTTTTTTGTAAAATTACCAGGAATATTCTACACAAATGTTCTTCATCGCTAATTTATTTGTACACAAAACAAGAGTTTCAGCATTACAGGTTCCTATACTTTTCTTATGAACACTTCAGTTCCACACCCTTCTCCCAGATGTATTTGCTTGAGTTTTTACAAGTAAATATTTTGATAGTGTTGAGTCTGATTAAAGCCTCCCAAAAACTTGAGTAATGCAAGGTTTGGCAAGTAAAGGTAAAAGAAAATTTAGTTAAAGGGTGAATAAAATTTAAAATATCCGCAATTCTACCTACCGGTTCCATGAAGTCATATCACAGTTCAGTAATACTACTTCTAGGGTTTTATTTTTCTCAAAAGATGTGGATAAAACAATACTACTGGGAGACAATTTTAAACACATGATATCTAGTATTATGATCTTGCAAACCCATATTTTTTTCCTCAAGTGTCAATACTTCTGAATTGACACCAGCTGAGATTGTTCCGATTTCAATAAATATCCCCAAATCAGGTATTTTTACTACTAGACTCCAAACAATTTTTAAAAGCCTTAAAACCAAATTTTAAACCACTGTCACATCGGTTATTTATGAATATTCGACATGCTACATTGTCAGCTAGAACTTGCAAGGATTTCAAATAGTTAAAAGCTCATTGCTTTAACACAGAACACGTAAGGTAATTCTATCAGTTGAAGAGTATAAATGAGGATGAAAGACACATGACATATAGGAGCTTATTTCAGGAGAGTCTAAATATATGACTGTTTTATAAGTAATTCATGAAACAGCAAAAATCCAAGGCTGTTTTCTTGGCTTTGTTTTCCTTGTTATATTAATAGTGTCATTACTGGGACGGATTAATTTTACAATAACCACCTTAACCCCTTGAAATACAGCAGGACATTTAGTATCAGGCATTCTGCTGGCAGACACAGAGGTTATATATCAGAGCAACAGCGTTAAGTTACTGAAGCTCCTTCTGTTCTGCAAGCTTAAGGAGCTGGAAGTTTTCCATCTATACTGGACTACACGTGTGCGGAGTGTCCATACATGTATGTGTACATGCACGCATCCCCAAAACATGTTAAAGACACCATATCAAACAATTGTTATTATTAATTTAACAGCATTAAGCAAATGGAGGAAACAGCCTGACCAGAAAGGCTTGTAAGACTGTCAGGAACTTTTATCAACTCAGTAAAGTATGACAGTACCATAAAGGGGTTTTTATGCCACATAAGCTGTAAGACTCACCTCTCGCTCTAACATCAACCCTTCTGCTCTCAAATTCTTCTCAAACGTGCTTCTTTTTTCTACCTGCGGACTTGACTTTTTGTAGACCAAGATGTAATCAATGCGTTTTTTGCCGTCTTTGAAGAAGAGGCCCGATGATGCCATGGCATCAGTCTGAAGAAGATGAAAAACACCCCAAGCACGGCATACGTCACTATGAAGAGGCTCGTGATGAATTGCATGTAACACAGCACTTCCTAACGTGTGGCAATGTCCACGTAGCGCAGGATGAATACGTGAAGGAGTCATCACAACAACAGGCAGTTCATATGCATCAGTTACTGATGACTTCAAATTCAACAGAACAAAATAAAATAGCACCACAAAAACCATATTCTAGCTATTTCTTTCAGCTGTACAAAACCCTTAAAATTATTGTACGGTGCATATCAACATGAACTTCTGTTAATCCTTACGTTCCAGCAGGAATTTAAAAAAATTAAAGGCAAGTAAATTAAACCAAGTTTCCCAACTTTGTACCTAGGCAAATTTTATAGAACAAACATACTTGTATTTTCTCCAAGAGAGAAATAAATCAAAAAAGTTAAAAAAATAAATGCTGTTGATTAGAATGTTTTCCTGGGTATTCTAGTTGAAACGCTTTTTCAATACCGTGTTACCAGTGTTTAAATCTTGCCTAGTTCCTTCCCACCATGCTTGCAAACACCAGGGATTCTCTGACCTCGATATGGAAAACCCTCCTTTACATGCTGCTGCTGAAAGCTATTTTTGCATTCTGTGTTTTGCATGATTCAGAATAGACAGCGACTGTATCAACTGGTGTCAGACTACGAAGACATTGAAATCTGAGAAGGTAAACTGAGAAACTATCATCATCTTCTGGAGAATGCAGCACTCATTTTAACACAAACTGTCCAGAACAGGTATGTTAGTTTTACGAAAGATACACTGCACCCGTATATATAGGACCAGAGGTCTATGAATGCTGCACCCTTTGGCCAATAGGATGCTCGTCTCAGAAATTCATCCTATTTGGATTATTTGACACAAAATTTATAATACTCAGAGTTACATGCCATAGTTCCACTCTCTACTGATAAACAGAACCAACTGCATGATAACAGCAGCAAAAATACTGGATACCAGCTCACTTGTTTCTGCTCCCACATACTTCACTGCCGACTTTCTACGTATTTAGTGCTTCTGACAACCCCTCCGGCTGCAAAAGCTGAAGTTTTCTACCAAGATTCTTCCTCTTCTCTGCTTTTTTTCCTCCCAAAGCAAAAAGCAAGGAACAGTCATTCTCAGACCACCTAGTGTTACAAAGGAATGCATCATCACACATCTGGGAACATTATTTATGTACATTAAGATTCAACTGAAGTACAACTAACCTTATTTTTCCCCTCAGCAGCTGGCGATGGTATCAATTGTCTTTTCCAGATAACACTTATCAAAACTAACCATAGGAGCATTCTGTTACCTGCCGCAAGGTACACACCTGCTTACATATTTTATTAATAAGTCTGTAAACACAAAATGGGTGCTAGAAATCTCAACTTTGTCCCACCTGGCTAGAGTCATGCTGTCACTTTCATACTCTGCTTCAGGTGCAACCATAGCAGAGGTGAATTCAAATCCCTCCAGGTCAAGCCAAAACTAACCTGACTCTTCTACTACCTGGGCAAAGGTCTTAATTTCTAAGCGTAAAAGGTAGTCTCCCTCTCTTTCCTTTTTCAATCGGCATTTTTCTTCTTCAGAATTTTCTATTTGCTTCATGTGCAACTTGCTGTGCGATGTGTAACTACCTGACGCCTACGGGGTGCGGCGCAGAGGCCAGGTACTGGGGCTTTCGCTGTACGAGTACCGGTTGATCGCTGCCGCATTTGCCGCCTCCTGTACGTCCAAGGCCATCGCTGCCTTTCCTCCATCGCAAAATAACAGACAATGTAGAATTTAGAAACCTCTGAATACCTGCCCTGAGCCTAACTGAGGGGCAATGCTGATTTAAGACAGGGAAAGAAACAGGCCAAATCACAGAAAATGTAACGTGAACTAAAATAACCAACACGTCATAGGGTGTGATTAACCTGAATTTAAGAATCCATCAAGAGTCAATTATACCGATCACCTACATGCAAAAAAAAAAAAAAAATCTAAAAACTAAAAAACCCCAAACAAACCCAAACTACTTAATCTAGACGAAAGATGAATAAAAGCAGAGAAGAAAAGATGGCCAGTGCAACCAAGAGAAACAATATGGAAACTGGAAATTAATGAGGAGAAACGGACAGACATAGGAAGAAAAATTTTCCAATCCTAAATTATTTTGGAAGTTTGTTGAGAACAGGAAGTATCTTTTCCTTTTGCTTGGCTTTTGACTTCAGATCTTCCTCTTTTATTCCCATGAGAAATTAAGTGTAATATAACAGAACCAATAAGGAAAATAATTTATCAATATATTGATGAACATTTGTTGAAGAATGGCGTACCCTATACTCTATTAATTTATTTTTTATACATTCTTCTATTCATCTCAAGATATTCAGATAAATAGTATATTAATTCCAAATTAAGTCAAGACTGTCAACCAAGATTATTAGTGCACTGAATACAGGGTCACCCTTTCTAACAATTCTCAATGGGGATAGTAGTAAAAACACAAATTTTTATTTTTTTAAATGTCGTAGATGTAATAATCTAAAGATACAATATGCAGAGGTTTGAAGATAAGGTAGTAGATGAGAGATTTAAAAATACAAGTTTGAACATGCAAGTTTTTGAATACCCAGCCTTTTTTCAGGTTCAAGACACAAGCAAGGAACCCCCTCTTCAACAATGAAGAATTCCAGAACAAGTATTTCACAAAAGCAGATGAGGACTAGCTTTTGTGGTCCACAAAGCAGGCGAAGATCATACATAAAAAGCCTGGCCAAAATTCCCCCACAGGGAACTTCTCTTACACAGTTTCTGCTCACGCAACTTCTGCACAGGCATTACGCAAATTAAACCTACCTTTTGTGAATATACATCTCTCTCTCTTCAGATTATTATTTCTGAGCCTTTCTTTCCTCGTTTCTAAGATACCTGCTTTTCTTCATTCTTGGAAAAAACGTGTTTTCTTTCTCAAATTAACAACAGTATGCAAATATGCCCTCAGATTCATCGGCACCAAATGGAATTGTTTGGGGGCAACGTTCAATAAATAATGACCTGTGCTGATAGCAGCGAGAAATTTTCCATCTGTTCCATCGCAGACCACTTTCAGAGGCGTACTGCCACAGGCTGAGGTGTGCAACACTGCAGCCACCTACCGCATCCGCGCAGTGAACCCAACCTACTCTCTACCGATTTCAGGACTGATTCACTTTAAGGCTACTTGCACTTTGCTCGTTTTCACTGTTGTCCACCTACATTAGCAGGAATACCCGTGCCAGTAAAAATACTTATCTGTTGATTTAGGCGTTTTTTTCAGTTGATCTGAAGGAGTTCCTTAACGTCTAAGCAGAACAGGGAGCAGTAATTTCAATTAAACGTATGAGTCAAGGTATACTGGCCATATCTACTCAGTACAAGGGGCATTCAGGCAAAAGCACATTTATTATTTATCTGCTGGTTTGGACCAATAAATCTCTGATTCATTCTTTCACTTTTTTTCCTCAACACAGTTGAAGAGAAAAGCATCAGGTGAAATATTTTGTGCAAAGCCCTTACTCTATTCTTTTTAAGATTCTCTGTTTCACCTGAAAAATGTGTACAGAAAGGACTGATCACTGCTTGTTTTTCTCTCTAATCCTCTTCATCCCCTTTACTCTCTTAGTTTTCCAGATTTTCTAAACCTGATCAGCTTTTCTACATTTACACAAATATAAAAGCTTACTGAAAATTGATTTGAGAAATCCCTTTTAGAGTATTGCTGTATAGTTCAGCTTGCAAACACAATGTTTTTACTTCACCCTGTTCTTACCAAATCTTTAAATACAAGAACTTTAAATCTTAACTATTTGTGTACTGAGGCCGTAAAGGGCTTCCTCACTCAACAGTAAACTTGTTCATAATGCAGAATCATAATACACTGCTTTGCATCAGAGTAAAATATTACCTGAGGCTTTGCCACTACGTATCTGTTGCCGTTCCTTGGTTTTCTTTATTATTTGTCGTCATTGATGATTCATAGCTTGTGATTATTGTAACAAATAACATGACACACTGCTTTGAAGTCTGAAACAGTGTAAAATTCAAAATACTGACAATATCATTCAACTGAAGTTTACAGTTTACACAAGAGAAAACAAGTTAACAATTTAGCCTAGAAAAAGAAGCTATTGCTCAAGCAATAAAAGTGAAACAAACGTACAATGCAAGTACTTAGCAAAGTTATAAAATAAAAAGAGTTTACATTCCTGTTCAAATTTGATGTAAGAATTTCCTCGGATTTAGCCAACATAGAGAGATTTTTCAAGAAACAATTTTTCAGACACTAATTAATAAGCAACGCCCTCTCCACAAAGTGGGAACAGCTGTTTTACAGGCTCTTTTTCTCCTCAATTAATTTAAATAACACAATTTGCAAAAATTGTAACTATTTCAACTCCACTGATTCAGTTTACTGCTCTGCTCTGTAAAGTAAACTTTTTCCAATTTTTCACCCCATACACAGAAACAGATATGTAGAAGAGTGAGTTGGAACCATTCCCAAAACAATAAGCAAATTTTAGATTCACGTAAGAGTAAATGTCCAGTAGGCTTCAGGCTTGGTGCATTTTATTAATAGCAAAACCACCAGCAGATTTTGAACCTTACTGACAATTAGTGAAAAACAGACTGTAAATAATACATCAGTATACTTCCTTTTTTTTTTCCACTTTATACCAGTGAAAAGTTTAAGTTAATGAATAGTATGTACTACCTCGGTAAATTCAGCTGCTAACTAAAACCAAACGTAGGCACAGCGTATCTGTTGTAACCACTCACGTCAACTTTACTTCACCATTGACACGCCTCAACGAGGCTAACATAACAGCAAATGTTTAAAGGCTGACAAAATCTCTATAGGCGTATTTACTTTTATAAATTTTAAATTATTATTTATTTGCTTGTGGACGTGTGATTTACAGACTACACTGCTCTCAGATGCAGGCGTGACAATGAGGTATCCAAGTACAGCGAGAACGCCTGGCGAGGCTGTGGATGCTCCCTCTCTTCCTTGCTTACAATTCTCAGTCCTCTGGTTCACACGGGGGTGGTGCTCCAAAATGCTTCCTCTCTATCCCTTTCCAAAGCTCATCTACTCCATACTGCAGCTGTATCTGCTACATGCAATCGCATTTCCATAAATACCTCACCGAACTTTGTTACGCTGAGCCTAACAGCCACAAAATCCTGCTACTTCTGAAATCAATACGCAAATTCCCATTGACTTGTCCAAATATTTTAACCTTAAGTTGTGCAATGGCAAAACCTCAAGTACATTCAAACAACTAGGAAAGGGTCTCTCTAATTTGCTCATACGTGAAAGCTACAAGAAGCAGCCTGCCTAGGAGAAGTTCAACTTTCCTCCATGTGGGTAGTGTAATTTGGATATAAATTTGTAAAATCATGTAAAGGAAAGTAAATATACCAACAGATTAGTATCTGTGATCCAACCGATAGCTGTATGCACACAGCTGGGCCACAGGATTCTTCTTTTACAATTTGGATGCCAAATGTACTAAATTTCTCTCCAAAATCTTTTTATTTCAAGGTGATGATGTTTACAACAAAATTCATTTCCTGCCTACGACAGCTTGTGAATTCTGACAGCCAAATGTGTTAGAGAAAAATAATTTTGATAAACTCTGACCAATAATGAAGCAATATACTAAAGAGAGAGTCTTACTCAAGTGTCTTGGGTTTTTTCCCAGGGAAATTATAAGAGAAAGGAAGGGAAGAAACCACCAGTAGAAAGTGATGCTACTACTGGAAATGGTAGCACCAAGTAGTAGCACCACCACGCCAATAGCAGTTTTAGAGGCAAAGATGTGGGGAGAAGTTGTAGAACCAGAAAACATTTGAGGAGGAACAAAAGACAAGTAAACAGATTTGGAATATATTTGCTTCCTCATGGAAACAGTAACATGTTCATTGACCTACTGCTGACACACAAAACTTTTCTAAACACCACCATAAACTTTACTGGCACCGAGTCTTACAGCCCAAACAGCACTATATAGTATGTCCCACAATATATAAACTAACTTCGTAGACTTGCAAGGAAAATCAGCTTGAAATGGAGGAGTAAGATGGGGAGAACGAACCTTACAACGCAAAACACGCTGGTTGTCAGAGGTGGGGCAAGGAAATGCAGTTTTCTCTACTCTTCGTGTCTTAATTTTTAAGAGATATTTTACAGATAATAACGGATGAGTTCAGGGCTATTAAGTCATCTATAAGACAGAAGCAGCCATGGAAACAATTTGAGGAATGAGGGCAGGAATTTTGACAGAGGTAAAGTCTGATATTCTTGAAAATATCAGAAATATATCGTGAAATATATGTCGTGAAATTCTTGGGCATGGTAGCTACCTAAAACTGAAAAATCTACATGAATAGCTTTCCTGTTCTAACTCCAAGTAGAATGGTTATTTCTTATAAAAGAAAACTTTCTACCAGTATAATTTATTATTGTTCTTAGAACTTCATAAGTTGTTACTAAGTAGAGCAATTACTGGCTGATTCATGAAAACCACCTCATTTATTTTGATTACTAATTCTCCCTAACGCTGTTACCATGGACTTTGCATTATCAGTAATATTCACACTGAAGGATGCCACCATCTCGGTGGTTAGTGTTTACATTAAGAGCATATGACTCAGCTCTTACCTTGAAGTATTTCCTGCAGATAAATACATTTCTGATGATACTAACTGCAATGGGCTTATTTCCATGAAGAAAAGTGAGATTCTTAATTAATACTTGCTTTGTTACAGGATGTTTAAAAATCAAACCTGGCACCCCACAAGGCTACCAAATTCTTAAGTTACACGGAATTAGCTGTGAAAATATTTTAAAATGTTTTAGGTTATAGCAATGCATTGAAAGAAAACAGTATTAGACTCATTTTTTACGTTTTACAGATCATGCTCTGATTAAGAATACTCTAAGGTGTGCTTTACGGGAAATTTTCTAAGCACAGGACTAAGTTATAACTAAGTTATCTTTTTGTGTTTGAATGGCTTTGAAATGGATAAGAAAGTAAGAGATTTACTATATTAATCCTTTCAGTTATTTAATTCCAAAAATATCGATTGACTGATTTTAAGTGGGGTTTTTTTGGTTTTATTTTTTTCTTTTTCCAAATAACTAGGAGCATAATAACCTAGGAAAGAAAATTTGGGACATATTTGCATATGCAAAGATATCCAAACTACGCTGGGCATCAGAGACAACATGGCCTGGTTAACACGACAGGCTGCCGTAATTACCCAGGCTAATATATTTCTGTGTATACTACACCGAACTGTGCAGAACCTGCCTCTTTTCTGAACAGACAGGAAGACTTCCAGAAATATCTGACCTTCCCAATAACACTGCAGTTTAACTTTTTAGGAATCAACCAAAGAATTAGTAATTATTTTAGTTTCTTCACAGAGTTTCCATTTTTGTTCTATTCAGACTTACAGAGCAAGCATGAACAATACATTTGTATATAATATGAAAAACACATTTTGCTACAGGAATGCAGTAGATTTAGATGATCTTAAGCAAAATTTTGAAAGGAAGTCTGTTCAATGTTACTGTATGAGAAAGCAGCAGTGGAGGATGTTTGAAGTCAGGAGGAGGCTTCCCTTTTTTAAACCTAGCCACTTCTATCTGCTCTTGAAGTGTAATAAGGAAGGCCTTAATAAGCAGCATGCTGTCACGACCACTGAAAATTTTTCTTTACATGTTTATTTCTTAAAATTTCTGTCTTTCCGATAAAATTCCTTACTACTTTCCCTGCATTTCCCAAAATATTTTCTGAGCTTTTTTTTTTTTTTTTTTTTTAACAAAAGCTCACAGAGAATGAGAGCCATTCACTAAAAGCATAAACATTAAGTTAACTTCTGTTGCACTTTATCATGTCTTCTATTCTGGGATAATGATTTTATCTGTTATCATTAATTTTAAACTTTATTTACTTTTGTGTTATTAGGCTGCATTAGTGGGCTACTCCTTATCTATCAGGCTCCTTTTGCTATTTTCCTTTTCTGTACACTGTTGTCAGCTGACAACATCTTGTTCTTATTTTACACTAAAACATCTCTATTGCCAAACCTTCTCTTTCAACATGCATGCCTGACTTCCACTGAACACGGGAGCAGGATTAGGAGTGAAACAATGTAAGTGAAACCAGTGAAAAATTGACAGGATTAGAACACAGAGCACAAATCTGTGCAACTCTGAAAGTCATGGACGTAAACAGGAAAGAATGAAAACAGAAAATAATTCCTGCAAAAGTGTGTAAAATAAAATATTAAGATTGAAGAACGTTTTTATTCTGCAGATATTATATTTAATTTTTTCCATTTTTCAAAACCACCTACATGAGTTTCTGAATGCAAAATATTTGTTTTGCAGGAAAGAGAGAATAGATACGTTCAGAATCGCAAAGAATACAATGAAATGACTACAAAAATGTATTTTGGCTTTTCATGGGTAGATTTACCCTTTAATAATCACTGTAATAAACTACACTGAACATTCTGAGTTTTGCTCAACTTATGAATTTTCAGCAGTATGTCCAGCTGATTAGAAATTAGATACAAACTCTGTATGTTTGGCTAATTGCTTATTTAAGATCTTATTTAAAATTCCTAAGAAGTTACGTAACGCTTCCATAGACTGAAAGAGAAATTGTTTCACGTCCTATCCAGCACAAAGCTAGTCTAGACATGCAGTATTATAGTGGATATCAGTGGATACCAGAAAAAGGCAGTAAACTAGGCTACTGTGTAGGCAGCATTTCTTTATAGCTCCTGAACCCATAGCGATAATATGTGTACTTTGTCCTAAAAATCCTTTCCTTACCTTGCCAGATACAAAATACATTACCTCAATAAAAAATTCATCAGATCAAAGACAGTAAAAGTAATGCAGTGCCTGAAAGGAAACAGAAGTGTAATTTCTCAAATATTCCTATCTCGGCTTTATACACATGATACTAATTGGTACAGAAAAGAGTTCACTGCTAGTGGCTTCGCTGCTTCTCTGTAGCCTCTGTGGCCTCCCATTGAAGTGAAGAAGTCTGTTTAGCCTGCTTTCCTTTCTTAGTGAAACTAGAACATGCCAAATATCAACTTTCCACTCAGGGACTTCTCATTTCCTACATAACCCTTGCAATGGCAGATACTACTCGTTTCGTGCTTTGCTCAGCAGCAACCTGTTGGCATCATTCCTCTGTGTGAGATCCCTTGGCAGAATCACATACATGAAATCATAGTTTCTACACAATCTCAACAGCAGTTGGTGATGAAAAGACGGCAGAGATGGATAATGAAGACAGCTTTTTAATGGGTCTGAACGACTCTCAGTTTTCAGTGTGAAATCTACGGGTTCTGAAATTATACCAACCTACACCAAAGGAGATTATGAGTTATAAATCATAATCAAGGAAATGAGAGAAGCAGACGACTATCAAGATGAATGTTGGCATCCAGATGCTATATCAAAATTATCCAATGTTTCTAAAGTTTTACAACTGCAGCAATACAAATCAGATTTATCAGCAGTGACGCATCATGTATGTCATCTGAAACACAAAACTATTCCTGAAAAAAATTGCGTATCAGTTTTCATTGTGTCAGGAAGACAAGTTTGTTATTGCTGAAGTATTCAAGTAGCTCATCATTGAGACAGATAATAGCACCAAGCATTAATTGCAAATAACTGCTTTAGCAATTTTTCCCTGAGTCTCTCAGGTGTAAAACAACCCTTCCAAAGCAAGCCTAAATTAGAATCATTAACAAGCAGAGAAGAATACGCTTTTACCCTTGTACGCTCTGCCAACACGGCGTTTCTCATTTTCATTCTCTGGTCAGACTGAGGAGATTCTTTTAACATGATAGATCAGTTTATTTTCCAAAGAGTACTTACCAGCTGTAAAGCTGTAGAGCAGTCTTCTGTGCTTTCAACAGCCTCAAAAAGAATGAGAAACCTCCTCTTGCTAGTTTTATATGCATTTTGGGAAGAATTTTCCCTTAGACATCTTCCACTAATTGCCACGAAGACTGGTACAATAATCCAAAGGCAAAATAGTAACCTTCTCTTCTGATATGAGACTGATCTAAATCCTCTCTGCCTTTTTGCTGTGAAGGCAGGCAAACAGTAAACAGGAGGAGAATCCTGCTTGGTTGCCTCATTTGCAAAAACAGAATAAAAGCAGGAGGAAGTTTCCAAAGCAATTGCTGTGATAAAAGGAGTTGTCAAAGCTAAAAGCCAGATGTGGCTTCAGAAGGCTGTGTTTAAACTCTGAAGCACTTTGTTTAGTAGGTCAGGACATACAAAGATTGAGACATAAAAAAATGCATGTCTGTTTAAACTTAATACAAATACAAGACTCCTCTTTAAACTTTGAAAGAAATTTAGCTTACTGGCTGCCTATAATAGCTGAATGCAGGGCTTGGAGAAAACATGGCTAGTGGTCATTTTATACTTTACACGAAAATACAAAAAATACTTTGCTTTAGCACAATGAAATGCATGTTACTAGTTAGGCATCATCTGTTACTAAATTTTTTTGGTAGCAGTCTTATCTGTTATTAAAAATATTTTGTTCTCTATAACATAGTCTAAATTCTGCAGATTCTGCATTATTTTTTCTGCCTTTTAGGCCACATTTGATATAAAAGGTTTTGTCTAGCTAATCAACAAAATCAAACAAGGACTTCTATTATTATTTCCGGCTTAATTCAGCTAGCCTTGCAGAAACAGATAAAAAAATCTGTGAGCACAAGAAGTTCTCATTGCAATGGTTTAGATTAAAACAGGACCCTCCTCTGTCATTACCAAAGTTTCATTTTCATGTCAGATTTCCGATCTGTAAGTACGATCACCTGTAAACCTATCTAAACATTACTAGATAACTATTATTATAAGAGGATTTTTCTAAAGCATCCCATGAAATTAAGTCTCAGAGATCATGTCAACCTGCTGCCTGTGTTTCAGAATCCTGTAGTAATGATGATCAGCGTGACTGAGAGAACAAGTATTACAATAGTTACTTGACTCTGGTGAAAGGTGCATTCAATGCTCAAATCGCAAAGACCAAATGGCTTACTGAAAAGTATACTGTACATAAAGCATAGAACCTTAAAGCAATTTAAGTGTTTCTAAATTCGTAGCAGCACGGGATTATTCATGCTTTTATACACCAAAAATCAGAGAATTGATGGTAAAAACCGTTTGGGAGAATACACAACTTAAAGTGCGTAAGAAGAAAGTAATTCATAACTTCTTCAGGTTAGGTCGTTCGTCATACATTTACAAGCAATTATGCTTAATGGAAACAAGAATTAAGGGTCTCCCAGTCCAGAGTAAGAACAAAAAAAATACATGTTTTGAACTGAAAATCAGTTGTAATTCTTTGGCACTATAGCGGATGAACTGCTATAGAAAACGCATTGAGATGAATACTGTGATTAGGTAATTACTAAGCAAGATAACAAGGCAGTTTTACCTGGTGAGACGGCTTTCCCAGTGCTTTGGTTGAGGTTCCTAAATATACTCCTACACTCTCCTATAGATAAGTGAATTTTATCTGTCATTCAGTGTGTCTAGCTTTCATTCGGATTTTACCTAGGAGAATCGTACACTTCAGACCACTCTCGACTGATCATTTGCTACATGAACTTGGTTCTTCTAAACGCTCCTAATTTCTTGAGGCCTCCCAGCTGACATGAATTTCACTCCATGCTGGGATTCCTGTGTCCTCAATTCTGTGCAATATAAATTTTTTGCAAGAAGGCTACTGCTCTTAGATGCGTCGATACAAATCGTTAACAATCCCTGATTCAATAAAATTTTGGTTGATTTCGATACAGAGAATTCCACTCACTGATTCTGTAGGTCAAAGTATAATATGGAAGCCATTTAAATTTCTTACCCGAGTTGTCTATTTATTTAGGCTTTAACTTTTCCCTTAAAAACAATCTTTTAAGAATATTTAAGCACATTCTGACAATTTATACAATTTAATAAAGTTCTGTGTCCATTACCTTTAAAGATGATTTAGTCCGAGGTTCTGTCTTCTGTCTGGTAAGCTTGTTTTGAATAAGCAATGACTGATCTGTACGAGCATCGTAATTTCCATGTTCTGAATCATCTGTGTATGTGTCTTTGTCCTTCCCTACGTCTGAAGGGAAAACAGAAGCAAACACTTGGGCTCATTTTAGGTTATAGTGGGGAGAAACTAACAGTATTGTTACAGCCACAGTTGAATATTCCTTGTAAGTATCCACTTTTCAATAACTTATATTCTATCCTTTCCTCTAAAAGTTTTTTACTTGAAATGTTATCATGTTTGTCTTAAACTCGAATTGACTTCTATTTTTAGTAGAAAGCCTACAGACAATTTCTCCTGTTACCATTCAAATAAAAAAAGCCCACAACATTCTTCACAATAGTTAAGAAAACCCACAAAAGAGTATAAAGCAGATATTTAAATGCTTTTGTGTTTGATTCACAATTGTCAAGACTCAAAATGTGTTATCAAATAGGCAGGTGCATCCTGGAGACCAGAGTAACATCTCCTGTTTTAAATTTAAATAAGCAACTGAAATGCCCGATTCCCCTACACACAAGCTGTTCATCATTACACGTAGTATTTGAAAATTTGTGTATCGCAGTGACCACTTGGGAACACATTTTAAGAGGTGTATCTCACGGTGGCAGAAGAAAGTGTTTTCCTTTTCATTGGATTTGTTTTTAATTGTTCAACAAAAGTTTTTGTAAAAGGTCAGTTGAGTACCCTAAGATAGCTGCAAGTGACTGAGGGCCATCCTCAAAGCCTACTAAGATCCACTTTCATAAATCAAATTTTCTCCTGCATCATCACTGCAGGCAAGTTAGAAGGACTGAAGTCTCTGAGTCACTCTACATCCTCTATCAGAAGGGAGACTTTTTTCCAGACATTTAATTCCCTTGCACATTCTCCAACAAAAAATCATGGCAGTGCTTACCCAGCACATATACCCAGCAGGAGTAAAATGAGGGGTAATGCCTGTACAATGTTGCACCGTGTAAGTTTCAATGAACGCTGGAAAATGGATAGTCTTGAAAAAATAATTTAAATATTAAAAAAATGAAATAATTTTTCCCACACAATTATATCTTGGACAAATTGGAAATAGAAACATTTTCAGACTAAAAAGTTACCCACAAATCCTGAGCCAAGTTCTCATCTTAGCTTTCACATCAACATGGGAAAAGTCAGGGGGACTGGGAACCACATTTAGCCCAGTAATTCTAAATAGAAGCCAAGAAACAAGTCATGGTTGCTGTGGGAACAACAACCTTGAATTTCCTGAATTTTATATTCATAAAAGCTCATCTGCAACAATGAAGTATTTTTCATTAAGATGTTCAGTAAAATTCTCCACGGTAAGTAGTATAGAAAAAAAATAACCTCAATTATCTCATGTAGCCTAGACATTTCTGAAATGGAATATTAAACTGGAACATTTACCAAGAGCTGTTTTTTCTGCAATTTAGCTGCTTACATAATGATTACACAAAACGAGCCCTCAGTAGTTTCTGATACTGATATTAACCTCAGTAAATCTGTGAAGGGATTTCTTAATGTATGAAATAGCGTGTTTGTCAGAACACCAAACTCAGAGGTTTTATTTATTTTAAACAATGTTTTAACCTAATATACAGATTACTTTTCGTAACATAGTGACTGTAGTAAAAAGACTGCAAAGAAGGTTTCAGGTAGTAGGTACACAAAGTAGGAAACAGGATACATAAGCAACTTTGCAGATTTGACTCATGCCCAGGTATGATGAGCTCTTAGCTTTACTAAAGATCAAGGTCTTGTAATAGAAGCCAGTAAAATGAAAAGAAGAGACAGGCCTGTGAAACCTAAACTTTTGCATCTAGATAGGCCATTTCAGCTGAAAGACTCTACTTACATTAAAAAGTCTATTTTTAAATTTTAAATTTTTAGAGGATTACACATTATGAATACACCCAATGCTCAAAAAACCCTTTGCAAAAGTACATAATGTATTTTTTAAACAATTTAAAGTTATGAAATAAGTCTTCTCTTAGTGGTCAACATACTTTTACATGTTAAACATTTTTACGTTTTCAAAGACACAAGCTTTTAAGTTGCAGCATGTATTTTCTGTAAAACAAAAAAAATTAACTTCCATTTAGAAATACCTGCTATCTTGTCTGAAATGTAGTCAAAAAAGGTTTTAGCAACAAAAAAATCCATAAAAATAAAGAAATTTAAAATTAAAAAGGTACATTTCTTACATAAAATTTAAGGATACTTGATATTGTACCTTTCAGCAGTCGATGGCTTATTTTATGCACCTAAAGCACTGTCCTACAAAGTAATGGTATCAGTATCGTAAAAAGGGGAACAATTAAGATTAAACCATAGCATTTAATATTGCACTTGCATAGGCATTTGTTACACCTGTCTGAAAAAATGTCAGACATAGCATACGATCCATATTTTCAAAGTATATTCAAAAGCGTGCATTTTTCTTAACATTCGTGTAGTTTTAGACATTAATGCCAACAAAGCACCTAGAGTAGGCTTTGTAGGTACTTTGAATAGACTAGTAGTCCCATTTACCTCTCCTGCAGCATATACTAAACCAAAATTTTTAATTTTAAATAATTACACTCAAAGAAAAAGTTCAACAGATTGCATCAAATTTCTAGAACAGAACAGATTAGAATGAACAACTGCAATGTGGGTATGTTTTGGGAGGCACATTTGTTTCCACATTTTGTTAAGTTGAACTTCTTGCAAATTTCTTTTGATTAGTTTTAATATTTTGAAAGAATAGAGAATGAAAGATGTTGGTTTTAGAAACAGATCTTGAGAGAGGATGAAAGAAATTAAACTTTGCTACTAATAGCATTAACTATGTTTTTGCATTTTTCTATCACTAGGTGCTTTTTCTGTAATAAGGTATCCAACATTTAGATTAAAAGAGAAAGTCTCTCTTTTGCAGTTTTCCCACCCACCAAGCCAAAATCACATTCCCTCAAATACAACCTTGCACGACCTCAACTGATCATTCCTAGTGTCACCAACGCTAGGGTCACCAGTGATTAAGTCGTTCTTCAATTACTGCAGTTTTTAAACTCCCATGACACTTTTATATAATGTTTGTCTACACAGTAACACTATTTTCTGCCATCATTTCCTCTACAGTCTCTTATTACTTGCATTTGCATTTTAACTGCCATTTGCGAGTGCCACAAGCCAAACCAAGCCAAACCCTGAATGTCACGGCTGGAGTTGTACTGCCTAAGGATATTTTTAATGGAACATACCCCAAAAGCAGTGACATGGACTAACGGCCTGTTTGACTTGAATTGTAAGTATCCATCTTTAAATTCAAACCTGGAGTCTTTATTTGGTTGCAGCCCCACAAAACGCCGTGAGAAAAGCTTGGCTGCCTCAAGCGCTTTCCCTCGGCACTGTGGGAACTGCACTGCACTGTTTACTGCATTTTTTATTTCCCCTCATGCCTTCCCCGGCCTACGACAACGTCGAGAACAAGTGCCAGCTCTCGTCGTTCTTGGATGGGCTCTAATGCCAACCACCACAACTGGCCTGCTTGACTGGGAGGGCGAGGGTGGAGGCAAGAAGCCGTAGGAGGAACAAACACCCAAATCCAGTTCACTTTGCTCCAGAAGCTCAGGCTTTTACACCAATTAACAGAAAGATGGCTCCTTAACAGACCCCAGACCACTGCCTGCCTCCCCAAGCCCATGTTCCCTCCTCCACTGGTAATAATGCCATGCCTGTGCTTTGCTGGGACCATCTGAAAGACGTGAGCCAGGAATGGCCCATTCATATCTACCAGTGGACTTTCAAGTGCTTGCAATTTTTATTTTATTCATTTTTTAAATTTTTCCTCTTTTCAGAGACAAAAAACGTTGATCGGCTTCTCAGCTGTGTAGGTCTATCAGTAAAATACTGCTCTACAATGGCCAATAATCAGCGTTTATGTGTTGAAATGTATCAGCTGAGCAGATATGGTGTGTCAGCTTTCAGTTCATCTGCTCTTACGCTCCAGTAAGGTACTAGAGTGAATAGGAATTTCCAGAAATGCCTAAAACCTTTTAGTCAATGTAAAAAAAGGTTGTCAAAAAGTGTAGTACTTGTTTATGAAACATTTCCATTTTTCCATTTCTCTTTTACTGCAGGCTGAAATTAAAAAAACCCAAAACAAAATTATTTCTGTCCCGTTGGGGAGTCTCTTGGCTAAAAGCAGCTCTCCTACTCTAACGTTAAAGTAAATGGCAGATCTAGAGTTATCTGAAAAACTTTGAAACACTGCAAAAACCTTAAGAGATGCAAAGGAAAAAGAAAGAGGGATACAAAGCAAGCATGATCGGTGTAAAAAAAGAACAAAGTCTGCTGCAGTGGGAGGACTGCAAATGGGAGAATGGGACTCGTGTATGCTCATGTGCATGTCCTCACAGTGACAAGGACATCTAAAGGACATCTGCCTTCATTCTTAACCCTTCTCCTTCCTGTTTTTGAGCTCCTGGTAGGATTATTTTTTTTTTTCCAGGGCTTTTCAGGTGAAATATCATTGCTAATGCAAACAGAATGTGCGTGACCCTTTACACAACCTCTTTATGTGAGTTTTCAGAGCACCTACTAAAAGTAGGAGAAAGATTTAAATATTAATCCTACAAAATCTTACAGTTATAAAAGACTGTGTGCCTGCAGAACTGAGAAAACAACTATACAAGGTAACTATAATGCATCTTTAAGCAATCGGTACAGCCAATAACAATATCTTGCTGATGTATCTCACTTATGTTAATTAGAACTTGTGTGGAAGTTGAGACCCTTTTGAACTGCTGTCACATAAAAAATTTTATTTAAAAAAATCATTGAAGTTATACATACAATTTGCAATCCCCAAGTGACCTGTTACAGAGAGGAAAATTAATATGTTGTTATGACTTCAAGTCAGGAAAAGGAAAGTTTCTATATTAAACTGTTTAGCTTTCCCTAACACTGCAAAACTAAGATAGAAGAAAAAAGGCTGAATTTTAAATAAAGATGAGGACATTAAATCAGAGAAAAGGGTGACAGTTCGTAACTCTAGAGGTGGAGACCAAATTATATTTATTTCAATGAAGTCA